GCTGCCCCCTTGGAGTTTGGTTCGTCCCTCCATCATTGATTGATTGATTGATTAGTGATTCCGGCCGCGACAATGGCTAAGATTATCTCCGCAAGTGTAATGCAGGTTTTATCGCGGCAGGTGGTGGAGGTAATCGGAGAGGTAATGCAGGTTTTCCCCAATCAGGTTTCTCCTATCAGCGGGACACTGCCCGAGCTGTAATCTCGGGCCAAGCTCTAAGTGTCCGACATGTGTGGCTCTGTAGTGCTGAAGAAGGAAAGATCGCGTTCGTGTCCCCGTTTGTTAGAGTACTGTTCCGGCATTCGCCTGGAGTTGATCGGAGAAACCACGGAAAACTACCGTTCAGAGCAGCTGGCTGCTAGAATTCTCTTCCAGACAGTGACTGAATTCCTCCTAGCAACCCAGTTAGTGTCGAAAATTCTGCCACCATCGGGAAAGGAACCCTAAGACCTCCCGGCCCGAAGCACTTGAGAGAACTCAATTAAGCCTGAGCCACCTAAACCAGTACTCCAAGGTTTAAATCACCACACACTCACTCCAAGGTTTAAATCACCACACACTCAGACAAGTTTAGAATACCACACATCAAGAGGTGAAGTCAACCACACGCCTTGAAGTCTGAGAGATAGCGTCAAAAAACGTCAGTTACATGAACGGTTACATAATTAGTTCACGAAATATGTGACTGCACCGAAAAGTTAGTCTGCCAGCGGCACTTTCGAGCACTAAGGCCTCGCAAACCTTGCAAAGTATAATTGTATTCTTTGTGATGTCCCAACTCAAACTTTGTCTGCATTACATTATACGTTTGCGCTTGCTGTTGCCTTCGATAACGAGCTCGATAAAATTAGGTAAAAAGTAAAATGAGCGCACCACAGTGCTGTTAACAGTGAGTTAACTAGTTCTAATGATAGAGCGGCGACAAAAAGCCCGAGGGCTTTGGCCCGATGGCTTGTGGTAACCCCTCGATCATTAAGGGTCAAAGACAAATTAAAGTTAGAACAACAGTTTGCTATTGATCCTACGACATGGGGATGCTCAGTTCACTTTGAAAAATTAAAAAAAAAATCGTGGTAACCTGGAGCGTCAAAAAGGCGACCAGAGAAGACTTATCAGAGTTGTTTTTGAAGTGCATTAAGGCCTAAATTTTACTACACTCCTAAATTTTCTTACACCTCCCTTGAAAAAACTTGAATGCATTAGTAAGTATCAAATCCTACTCTGCATCAATATTAAACAGATTCCGGCGCATAACAATGAAGGATCCTTAACTCTGAGACTTAGAATAATATTTTTTGTATACAAAATGTTTATGATCTACATCGACGAACATCATACGCATCCATTTCATCTTCCAAAGTTTTTCGGCAAATTTCAGGCTCATGCTATAGAATTCGTTCAGTAATTATTCTTACTACAGCAAGAGAATTAGCATTACGCTATAATTTACATTATAATTATTTATTCATGTTTTTTTTTTGTTTCAACTCAAATTCCAACGGAAATACTTTTAGCAAACTTCAGATTAGTAATCAGCACCCACCCGCCAAAAAAGGAGCAAAAAATCAAAATCACAATTTGTTTCAGAAAAGCCTTTTTGAGCACGTTCTTACTGGACTAATTAAATGAGTTATTGTTCACTCTCTTAAAACTCCTTCCAAATGTGTTTTAGATGCTACCCCCAAAAAACAATATTATTCGAAAATTCTCTTATCTCGAAAATCGTAAAAAATGGTCACTTCTCCACCAGTAGCCCAAGAAGCGTCGAATGGCATTTCATTTCCCCCAAGATGCATCTCATTGCACCAAATGCAAATTGGTGCTATGAGATGCAATGACTGGCCTCAAACGAAGATGGCACGGAAAAAGTCTTACTTTCGGTTGTAACATCAATGTCGATATTTTCAACAGACCCTTTGTGATAATCCTGGACTATTAGGCTTAATTTTTTCTATTCTTATTTTTACTTTCCACTATACATACGTATAAACGGGGTAATATGTAATAGGGAATGTTATGTAATGCTGCGGAAAATCGGTTTCGAGATTTCAACGGGAATACTCGTTTTGGGGTCACCTGATACCGAAAAAGTGTTGTTTTTTTAACGTCCGTCTGTGAACACCACTAGCGCCAAAACCATGCGTAGGATTTTTCTCAAATTGGATTTAGATTTATTTAGTCAAAAAACAGTAAGAACAGTACGTGACGTACGGGTGAGAAGATGCGAACGTTTTCTTGAGTTCTAGAATGCCTTCCAATTACTTTAACTATAAATACGAGTAGTTGAAAGATGGGTAAAAGGTAAAGATAAATAAAAATAAAATTTAAAAAAGCGAGAGATTAGCAATATTTGAAAAAACTAGAAATTTTCATTTCCGAGTTATAGAAAACTAATTTGTATCGGTAAACGAATAGCAGATTTGATTTTTCTGCATTGCTAACAAAATAGTAACTCGCCCTTAGTTCCACTCCTACCATTACAAGAAAAAGGAGAGTTCAACAAAACGTGCGCATGGTGAAGCTACATTTACGTCCAGAAGCAAAACAAGGGGCCATCTCAGCATTTGCTCAGTGGATCAGGGGAACTGGACAAAAACCTGATCCAGATGGGGGTCATTGATCCGAAAGATGAAGTACATTATTTGTTACAAGCATATTAAGTCTTTTTAAAAAATATATACAATACATATGTAAACTAATTCATTATATATCACTGTTTTGTTAAATTAAACATTATTTTTCTTTTTGATGATCAGTAGACTCTAATAGTATAGATACAGTTATGCAGTAGAAAAAAATTTTAACTTACATTTATGAACCGACTTCAATTGTTTAACGTCATCTGGCAATGCGTTGTAAAGTAACGTACATGTATTGTATGTGGATTTCTGATAGTGAGCTGTTGATAATGACACTTGATGAACGTGATTTCTACGTGTGTTGTAATTATAAATATCAATATGGCATGAAAATATGTTTCCACCGTTAAGTAAGTCCGTTTTGACAAATATCCCCACGTCATTAATATTTACATTACCAGAGATTTGAATACAATATTTCATTTGGTAGTATAAGTGCTTCAAATTATATCTCAAAATTTCTCTAAAACTTCAAACTTTTTTGAGAAAAATGGCTCAAAATTCTGCATTTTCAGAAACGCTTGAATGACATTCTCAAAACGGCCTCAACATTTTTTCTTCAAACTTTTGTACAGATACTGCAAAATGCACTGAATAAAACAACATTAACATTTTTTTTTTTATTACACAAGGGTAAATTTTTTTAAAATATCTCTCACGATGTTAAAATTTAGACAACTATCATTTATTTAACATTATTGCATTTATGAACACAAATGCTTTAAATAAATAATTAAATAAATTTTGATGAAGTTGCTTACAAACTGAAAACTTGTGCTCAAAATTGCGCATTTTCAGAAACTCACAAACATTTTCTCAAGAATGGCTCCAAATTTTTCAATAAAAATTTGCATTTAGGAGTGTTTTACTCTTTTGTTGTATTCTTAAAGGCATATGTCAATTCTACCATTAGGGCATTGAAAAATTGAGAAAAAGTAACAAAATTTCATTTTGGCAGCAGTTGGGAAGAGGGTGGGGCAATGCCGGAAAGCTAGCCTAAACTAAGAAGATTAGAATACTAACTTGTGCAAGAAATTCTGTACCATTCTGTAGCACCACTAGTTGTACTGTATTGCAAGTTGTTATGTTCAAAAATTTACATTGGCATTATGAGAAGGGAGAAAAACATATGTTCTGATCAAATGTTTGAACTCTGGATACAAGTAAAGACTAAGTCTCATCATATTAAAAGTCAGTGTGAACTTGCCAGAGAAATATGGGTATCAAATAATAAGCAGTATTAGGGACTTCAAAAGATGATTTGGAGCTAAGACTTATTGATAAATGTTAAATATTTGGGGGTCAAGGTATTGTACACAACATAGTATTTTGATTAATCACAATAAATAGATAAATGTTTTGGATGATTATTGATTAATTTAAAGCAAATTTGAATTTAAAAACATAATTAAATTGTGTATATTATTTGGAAATTGTTGACAATACTGAATGAAGGGTAGGAACTTTATTTCATCATATTTTATTTTAGTAATTAGTGGTATTACTTAATTATTGAATTATTTGGTAGTTGGTGGATTATTTTAGCAATTAATAATTCTTGGTAGTTATTGTATTATCTTTTTCTTTTACTTTGTATAAAACAAACTTAGGAAAGTAAGCCTTTTCATTTCAAATTCAATAAGCTTTTTCATTCAAATCAATTGCAACATCACAGATACTTATCACAATAAATAGTCAGTTCTACTAATTTATGAACGATTTCCTTTATTGTTGATCTTATAGAAATTCTTTAGCGATTCTAATTATTATTGAGAGGATATTGAGAAAATTAATGTTTAAATTGACCTTTTCAAATACGAATAATAGTTTTGGAGAAATTTATATTGAGCAGATACAAAGCTTCATTTTGGGCTATTTATATTCTTGAAAATTAATCTATAAATAAAGACAATATCCAGAAGATATCAGCAAAGATTTCATGATTGTGAAACAAATCTGTATATTCAAACACTATTATACTAGTAAAAATAATTAGAATTAACTCCAAGAACGAAAGAAAAAAAACTTAGAAAGCGTTTACGTTTTTTATTTATTTATCGTTCTCTACACATATTTACATTCAATATCACTGACATAAATAACATACACAAATGAACGCAGAAGAATATCGTAGAACATCTCTTCAATAATTTATATAGATCTCTCTAAGTGGTATATAATACAGTAAACATGTAAAAATACTTTTGATCTTAAGAATATGTACAAATTAAAGAATAGTATCCCCACTATCATCCAGCCATAGACACTGATATCATCCTTCAAATTTTCTTTAACTAATTTTTAAAATCTTCATGAAATTTGACAATTTTTAAAATCCACACTATAACCCTGCTAGCCTTTACTCTCGTATCTACACTGAAATAACCTACAATAAATGCCAGCATCAACAAATGCTGCCTCTTTGGTAAAAATCTTTCGTGCCTTTTCAAGATTACCATAATAATGAGAGAGAACAAAATCAAACTATCTGTCAAAGACCTCAGATCATATACAATTGTTCAACAACACCCCAGAATCAGAGCTTTGTTTAAATAAATGAAGTGGCAAAATAAACTTAACTTTTTTTAGTGTCGACAAGGCTGACCCTTAAAATCTCATATCCTAACAACTGATGAAAGTCTACCACTTGTAACCCATTTGTTGTGTTTATATAATTGCAGTAGTAGTCTTTAACATTGAAATACAGTCTTCAAATGTATAGTTTACATTACAGATGTTAGTGAAATAGCTCTCATACAAACTTACTTAAAGTAGTAAGTTACACAAGAGAATTACTTTGAACATCTAAGTTTTAGTCTCTCACCAAAATTCAACTAACCAACCAGTTTAGTTGGTTTAAAGTTGGTCTCGACAAATGACACTTGTACAATATACTGTATTGGCAATACAATAGTATAATATTTTCTTCATCAAGAAGTGCTCACTAAATCAAGAAATACTAAGTTTCTTTTCTATCTGCAAAATTATTTGCTTATATATTCCACTTAGCACAAAATAGTTTTCAGAAGTAAAGTAATATAATGGTCATAGGTTTGTGAGTACTTAATATTACAGTCAGTAAACATTGGAAACAATACTGCATTACTGTACCACTTCAAAAGCGTAAGCGACTTCACAACCAAAAGCAGAACAGTTTACATATTTTAAAGCATTTCAACATCAAAATATCAAGGTTAACATCTTCAATGCTGGTAACACAACTTCAAAGATGCACAATGCCATTAAATACACACATAATGTACTATTCTTAATTCCACAAATGATTTTTAAGTGATTCCGCAAAGCTTACAATCTATACATACATAGAGATATGGTATTACTTCTTTAACCATTTATGAACATGAAATTTACCACTGTAATCTTCAGTCTCCAAAATGTCAATCATGCACTGCTCAAACTGTATAGACATCACAAAATTTAAATTATCATCCAATAAACAAATCTTTGCACATGTCTATTCTTGAGACAGAAAACACTTCTTAGACTGCAAATTGATTAATACAATCAACATCAAACATCTGACAGAGCCCTGGCCCACATCACATTCAAAGGGGATGTGTGTACTTGCTTTCAGGAATCAGAACACACATGACAATGCAAAAAGCAGACTCTGTACTAGGAATACTCACAAGAGGAGAATTCCACTTTGAAATTTCCTTGGCCTTCAAATGGTCCCTGCTCCCCCTGCTGCAGCTGCCACAGCTACTGGCATTGCATCTCCATCTGCTGCCGCAGCGCTTACAGCAACAGCAGCAGCGGCAGCGGCAGCAGCAGCAGGGGCCGGAGGGTCCTCTGATGGCCCTCCGGACGGCTCGCGCCCTCACTTGTCCCATAGCCCCAGCTCCTTCATGTGAGTCTGGAAGTACTTCTCCAAGGTGTCAGCGCATCGGTGGTACTCATTGTCTGGGCCATTGTAGTGACGGCAGTTGTTGAAAATGCGAGTCATGTCAGCAATGAAGAGACGGCGTGTGATGTAGTAGCGTGCCTTCAGGCGTTCACCCATGGTTTTCAGATCTTCACAGTTCAAAGAATACAAAGAGTAAGCATTATTATATGCCTCGGCATGCAACATCCAGATTTGTCATAAAAATTATAATTTACTTTCAATAAAATTACATCATTGGAGGAATCAGCAAGATTCCTATCTAACAAATAGAAGAACTACCTTCCCAAGTCATGCACTAAGGGGTGATAGTTATCATGGAGTTCCCTTAATGAATTTTTTTTTTAAACACGCCTTTTCAAATGTTCTATTTAAAAACCTGGAAGGTTCAGAAAAAAATGAGACATTACTAAATAATACACGAGTATACTTCATATTTTAGAACTTCTTTCTAATGATATCTGACAACTACGGACACTAACTTTTGTCCAAATAGTTAGATGAATCAATTAACTCTGATACGAAGCCCCCTTCTTTTAGCTCATTATTGATCTGATTTCACCCAAATAGTACTGCATTACAAACATTAGTAACTATTACCAAGAATTTAGTTTGAAAATGTATCATTTTATGGTTGAAAGGTTTTTCAAGATATTAGTTGGGTAGGCATCTTAGTCTTGCAACTGTTGTTGTGGTCCACTGCTACAATATAGCTTGCATGCAATCAATTACAATTGTTTGTTGGTTTTACTTTCCTTTTCATTTTCTTCATTTTTCATTTCATTTTCACAACAACAAAATTGTTTGTATAGCAGGAAGCCATTTTTATAGCTTGAATAAATCATTGTAGGTTTTTTGTTGTTGTTGTTGTTTTTTGTTTTTCCTTTTCACATGTTTGATTACATCCAAGTACCATATGCTAATTTAGCATTCTGTTGAGTACATTCTACATTTTCACATATATCTTTGTTAACAAGAGATGCTCTTTTCATACTATCATTTGCGTTGCATTTGCATTTTGTTATTCTAATAAAGTTAACAGCATTTAACAACCATGCCACCAACAGAAAAAGCAAAGAAAACGGCTTAACATAATAGAAAAGGTTTCATTGTATCCCACCAGGTACAAAGAGTATCAGTAATACAAACTTCAGTAGCCAGGAAGTGATCTCATTCCAAACCAGAAAGTGATGATTTTATTGGGAAAAGGAGAAATAAGAACTTTTTTATATCAAAAGTTACTGCTGTGAATAATTTTAGAAAATTACAAGAAAATTCAAGGTCTAACACAATAAATTAGTAAGTGCAGTATAGTAATACATTGGTTTGAAAAAGTCAGTTACATTTTTGTGACAAAGAGGAGGATACCTTCCCCTGAAAGCACAATTATGCAACACCTGAAAAACATGATGTCTGCACTAACACTTTACCCAGTCAGTCCAAAGTTATTGTTGCTTGTATCTCTAACAACAACTTTCTTCTAAGTTAATGTTGTGTGCATATAAAAGCTGAACTCAATAATTACTTATTTATGTATTTAGGAGTATTAATAGAATTATTTCCCTTAATCCTAATTACTTCAGTTCTGTTTATTTAATATAACATAAATTACGTACTCTACACTATTTTTGGAAAGGGCAAATAAAAATAGGAAATTTGGAAGGGACATTGGATATATTATCAAAAAATAGAACTGCCTCCAAAAATGGAGGTCAAAAGGGAAATCTATATTATCATCACCCTTTCATAGAAAAATATAATATTGTGGAGATTATAATCAACATATAGTGAATACTTTTGATGCAGATAATCTTAACCAGTTACAAAATGATCAATTCAAAGAAGAGATGCAACATCATCAATGTAACATCAATCTGGCCAAACATCAATGTTCAAAATTAAAACATCACATATTAAGAACATGTCATCCAAAAACCATCAATGTTTGTAAATATCAAAGTTTTAATGTTGCTTTAGTGCCTCTAATCATAAATTTGTGCACAACCAAATATAATTTAACAGTTGCTATTGCACAATAATTTACAATTAAAATTGATCTCCAACTGCAAAATACATGCAAAAAAATGAAGGAAATACATTGAAAATGTAGAAACATTGGTTCCAAAATATTGATGTTTAAAAATCATCGGCATCAATACTTTGATGTTTAAAACATTGATATTTTTATATAAATACCGATGTTATGAAACCATCAACATCGACGTTAAATCTTTAATTTTAAGGAGGTCGCTGGTATAAATTTTAAAGAACTTTTAATACCATCCATACCACCATACTTTAACCCACATAACAAACATTTATAGTAAAAACTGTCAAGGGTAAAATAAACTGTTCTAGAAGTTTCTGGAATGGAATTCACTCTCCAAACAAGGAGAAATATCAAATTGTTTTGCTTTTCATCACAATAAAGGCATCAAATTAAACAATTATGCTTCTTAATTAATATTATCTACAATTAATATTTAATTTACTTCTTTGTACTGTTGCAAATACCAAACATAATTTCCACCCACTTTGAATTGTAAACGCATTTTTCCACCAAGGTGCAGGAATATGTTCATAAAGGTCCATTAATTTAAATCTCATAAAAACGATAAATTTATGAAATTATCTCTCAATCAAAATTAAAAATGGAACTGGATCAAATTTTCTTTTTAAATAGTGTTCATTGAACATTGAACTGTACATCTCATATATTATGTTCTGTAATACTGATTGATTGTCTATTTCTAGTAAGCATACTCGAATACAAGACTAGGATTTATTCTAAATATTTCATTTGAAAAATGCAAATGAAAAATTTGCAGATGCAAATTAATCCAAATACATTGTGATGACCATTTTAAAATGGCCTTTCTCTGATAAGAAACTCAAAAGCTGATACAATCAGGGGCAAAGTGTGCATGGATGTGTTGGAAGTGCCACTTTCATTTCAACTTGAAGCAAAAAACACTAGGAAATCACTACAATATTTTATTTTCATTAAACTTTTATTCTGAGATAGTATTTTCCCGAATTAAATGTCACAGCCAATATTCACTGGAAGCTTTCTGGAAAAGTCATTTTCCAAATTTAAATAGACACAATAGTGTAATGTGTACTGCAGCTCGTAAGCTGTTCAGGCAAGGGCCAACTTCTGAAATACTCTCCAACCCCAAGATGTGGAATTTGAATTGAAGCCAAATGCACAAAGTAGTCTGAATACACAATATCTTGTCTGTATTTTTGCTAGCGCAATCACCACCTAAGTGATTAATTTTGTTTAGCATAGTGTATTTTGTGAATATAATATATACAATGTAGAGTCAAAAAATGGGAGAAGTGAAGTTTTGTCATTGAATTTTAGAGCAGAGTGCAGGAAAAGTGAATCTGTGTATCCATATGCGAGTTGAAAACTCTCATCCATCATGGATGACTAGTTTTGACAGGCATGAGCAGTGTAACTTATGACTGTTGCAAATGTAGACTCAGAGACAAGACCAGCAACATTTTCAGCTACAACAGTAGAGCCATAAAGCAACATCTCCATTAAAGAAGAAAATAGTAGTTTCAACTGAGGGCTCCTCAGAGTGATTTATCATTTTGTTCCACTTAAAAGCATGTGAAATTTAAAACTTGATGAAAGTCAATTTTCTCATACCTATCAACTAAAATCATTACACATCCTGAATTATCTACAGACCCAAAAATGTGACCCACATGACATGTGACACTTATTTGGCCCACAGCATAAAATGAAAATATTCGTAGTAAGAATAGTGTCAGATAAATAACAAAGAACACAATTAATGTGTAAAACTTTCAAGAGACCAAATAAATCAGAAGATAGCCTATACTGCAGGAGATGGAACTCTGGAATTGACAGCTGCCAAGCACATGGGGTGATGTTGCCAAACGCGTAAGCATGTGATGTCTACTGCCTTCATTCAGCTATTCACGGCACATTAACAACCACACAACATGAAGACCTTCTTCATTGTAAATATACAAGCACATCTCTAATTTATACATTGCAATTTAGAGACAATGTTTTCAAAATAAACTCATGTTTTTCTTAGGTAATGGGGTACAAAAAATTGAAAAAATGAATATATCAATTTTTTATCTCATAACATTTTATCAAAAAAGAAGAAGAAATAATTAAATTTAGGTACTAGAAAAGAAAAAAATAATTTTGCTTACCCATTGGGTATTTGATGTGATCATAGTAGTCAGGGACTACATTCTTGTTCACTGGTTCAAGAAATGGCCATGCAGCACTGTGATTTTTTATCTAAAACACACAAACAAAATGTTGTTCCTATATAATTTAATTGTCAAAATGATAAAAACATCAAATTAATGATTAAGTATGCAGAAAAAATGCCAATGTACAATGTCTATTTCAAGTGATCTACATGACTACAAAAGTGTTTTAATTTAGTACTTTTAATGTGTAAATTCTAATAATTTATGCATATTAAAACATTTTTCATGGCAATTAAACAGGATATCAGATAGACCCGTTGGTCAGGTTACAGCAGATTAAAAACCCAATATTAATTTTTTTTTTTTTATAGATTTTTCTAAGTTTTGAATTCTAAGCAACTTGAGAAATACCTGTGAAATTGTTTAATTAATATTAATGGCCATGAAGTATACTATCAGGGCCTTCCAACTCCCATATAACATGGTGGAGACCATTACAGCTCTCCTGAAGCACCTTCTTACAGGAACTAAAATACAAACTCCTACCATGATACTTAAAACATTTCTGGCTGCGGCATGGGTTCGCAGGATGCAAGCAGGTACATTTGTTTATAAAAAAGATAGTGCTGATATTTGCGCTTTCTTCAGTGGTTTCTTATATGTATATATTATGAATAATTGAACATTTAGAAGACACTTTTCCTATTTCTCACAAATTAGCCAATTTTTATGTGCGGAATTGGTGAGCCAGCTACAGCTGAAGCTGGCAACACTAGCGCCTCCTATAATGGCACCCTCCAGCTTTGTCTCCAATTTTCATGGAGAGTTCAAAGGCCTTGCACACTACATCACTCTTTTAAACCATTTTTAAATACATAAAATAAAATAAAACTTTTTACTCTAAGCATTTCACTCACAAAAAAGCGAAGTTCAAGGAGTGAAAACAACCCAATTAGAGGAACTAGCCTCTAATACTTCCAACTGCATGAAAATTGAATTGCATTAGAAAACATTGACAACATATGATGTCACAAAATAAGGATAAAGTGTCCCTCAAGATAACCTGTCATCACATGCATGAAGGGTTCAACTTTAAGAGCCCTGAAGACTGGTTCAGAAACTGATTCTTGTTACAAACAAATTCAACAAAGAGAAAAACTAGATTAAAACAAACAACTAAGCAACTCACTGTATTGAGAACATTCTTCAGAGTGGTAAAAAGCTTCTCAGGGTCATTGTATTCCTCAGTAATGCGAGATACTCTAGTATTCCGAGCTGCAGGACGCCAACCAGTGTCTCGAATGCCTGGTATACTTTCAATAGGAATGCCCCTAACCCCATCTCGAAAGCAAGTGAGTCCAGGGCGCACCTTTTGCACTTCATGCTGGCGCATCTCAATGCGCTTCTTCACAATCTGCAAAGAAAAATTTCAAAATATTTGAAATTTGAATATTTCAAGAAGTGTTTGAAAATAAAGGCTTAAATCAGTTAAATATCAATATAATTTGTCAGAATATATTTGTCAGAAAGGAATCTTGTTAGCATGTTTTTCAAAGGACCAAACACTTTTAATGTAATAATGTTGGAAGTAGGAAAACAAGTTATCAAAAAAAAGAGAGTGAGAGAGAGAGTGAGAGTGAGAGTGAGTGAGAGAGAGAGTGAGAGAGTGAGAGAGAGAGTGAGAGAGAGAGTGAGAGAGTGAGAGAGAGTGAGAGAGTGAGAGAGTGAGAGTCTCTTCACTTCTCTTCTCTCTCACCTTCTCTCACTCTCTCTCATCTTCATCCTCTCACTTCTCTCTCTCACTCTCTCTCCTTCTCGTCACTCTCTCTCACTCTCTCTCACTCTCTCACTCTTCGTCTCTCTCTCATCTCTCTCTCATCGTCTCTACTCTCTCTCACTCTGCTCATCTCGCTCACTCTGCCTCTCACTCTCTCACTGCTTCCTCATTCATCTCGTCTCTCACTTCACTCTCTACGTCACCACTTCACTCTCACTCTCCTCTCTCATCTCTTTTTTTGATAAC